CTGATGGGATCCGGTGCATTAGTGCTGGGATGATCGCACCCGACATGCCATGCGCACAAAATCGGATTTAACGCATGCGGGGCGGCATGATCGAAACGCGATGGGCGTGAGCGGGGGAGGTTCTCATTTGTAGAGAAACGAAGAAAAGAACTCGGAGAAATTGAAAGAAAAAAAGGGGTGCAACACCAGGACTTCCCAAGTGGTCACCCAACTTAGTACTACTCACGCCCAAGCACGCTTAACTGCGGAGTTCTGATGAGATTCGGTGCATTAGTGCTGGTATGATCGCACTCGACATGCCATGCGCACAAAATCGGATTTAACGCATGCGGGGCGGCATGATCGAAACGCGATGGGCGTGAGCGGGGGAGGTTCTCATTTGTAGAGAAACGAAGAAAAGAACTCGGAGAAATTGAAAGAAAAAAAGGGGTGCAACACGAGGACTTCCCAAGTGGTCACCCAACTTAGTACTACTCTCGCCTAAGCACGCTTAACTGCGGAGTTTAGATGGTATCCGGTGCATTAGTGCTGGTATGATCGCACCCGACATGCCATGAGCACAAAATCGAATTTAACGCATGCGGGGCGGCATGATCGAAACGCGATGGGCGTGAGCGGGGGAGGGGTTCTCATTTGTAGAGAAAGGAAGAAAAGAACTGGGAGAAATTGAAAGAAAAAGGGGTGCAACACGAGGACTTCCCAAGTGGTCACCCAACTTAGTACTACTCTCGCCCAAGCACGCTTAACTGCGGAGTTCTGATGGGATCCGGTGCATTAGTGCTGGTATGATCGCACCCGACATGCCATGCGCACAAAATCGGATTTAACGCATGCGGGGCGGCATGATCGAAACGCGATGGGCGTGAGCGGGGGAGGTTCTCATTTGTAGAGAAAGGAAGAAAAGAACTGGTAAAAATTGAAAGAAAAAAAGGGTGCAACAAAGGAATTCCCAAGTGGTCGCCCAACTTAGTACTACTCTCGCCCAAGCACGCTTAACTACAGAGTTCTGATGAGATCCGGAGCATTAGTGCTAGTATGTTCGCACCCGACATGCCATGCGCACAAAATAAGATTTAACGCACGCGGGGCGGCATGATCGAAACCCGATGGGCGTGAGCGGGGGGAGGTTCTCATTTGTAGAGAAAGGAAGAAAAGAACTCGGAAAATAGAAAGAAAAAAAGAGGTGCAACAAGAGGACTTCCCAAGTGGTCACCCAACTTAGTACTACTCTCGCCCAAGCAAGCTTGACTGCGGAGTTCTGATGGGATCCGGTGCATTAGTGCTGGTATGATCGCACCCGACATGCCATGCGCACAAAATCGGATTTAACGCATGCGGGGCGGCATGATCGAAACGCGATGGGCGTGAGCGGGGGAGGTTCTCATTTGTAGAGAAAGGAAGAAAAGAACTCGGAAAATTGAAAGAAAAAAAGAGGTGCAACAAGAGGACTTCCCAAGTGGTCAACCAACTTTGTACTACTCTCGCCCAAGCGCACTTAACTGCAGAGTTCTGATGGGATCCGGTGCATTAGTGCTGGTATGATCGCACCCGACATGCCATGCGCACAAAATCAGATTTAACGCATGCGGGGCGGCATGATCGAAACGCGATGGGCGTGAGCGGGGGAGGTTCTCATTTGTAGAGAAAGGAAGAAAAGAACTGGGAGAAATTGAAAGAAAAAAAGGGGTGCAACACGAGGACTTCCCAAGTGGTCACCCAACTTAGTACTACTCTCGCCCAAGCACGCTTAACTGCGGAGTTCTGATGGGATCCGGTGCATTAGTGCTGGTATGATCGCACCCGACATGCCATGCGCACAAAATCGGATTTAACGCATGCGGGGCGGCATGATCGAAACGCGATGGGCGTGAGCGGGGGAGGTTCTCATTTGTAGGGAAAGGAAGAAAAGAACTCGGAGAAATTGAAAGAAAAAAAGGGGTGCAACACGAGGACTTCCCAAGTGGTCACCCAACTTAGTACTACCCTCGCCCAAGCAAGCTTGACTGCGGAGTTCTGATGGGATCCGGTGCATTAGTGCTGGTATGATCGCACCCGACATGCCATGCGCACAAAATCGGATTTAACGCATGCGGGGCGGCATGAT